AAAGCTGAAGATACTACACGTGAAATGGTGACCATTGGCGCAAACATGCCTTATCCGAAAGTTGATAGTTTCGGAAATACAGGGTGTTGAAAGTTAAAATTTTAAATCGTTTTTTTGCGATTATTCTGAAAATATGTAGGTTAGGAACTTGAAAATTTGTGAAACTATATTTTTTTAGGCGACGAATAAGATGCGTGTTTTAAATTCAGCATTGCTTATAGATGGTGCCACTTACAACCAATTTCACCGAAAATTTAGTTAATAAGTTTTTACCCTGTATGTCTATCATGAAACTTGATTCAAAACCTGAAAGAGCAATCATTTTTCCATTAATTATGTATTCTTGTTTCATTTCGGTATCTCGATCAGTTTTCGAGAAAAATCGATTTAACGAACACTATGTTTTGATAATACGAGAAATTAAAAGCGAAACAAACCAAGTTGTTTCTTCTTGTTTTAACAACAGTTAACCATAAAACAAATGAAATTTGTAATAATGATTTAAAGTCAGTGTTCGAAGAATCCACCGTTGACATTTACACACTTTACACAACGTTTTCTGAGATCTTCGAGTTTGAAACAACATATTTGGATTGCGTTTGACTTCGTTGGCAGCGATTTGTATTATTATTTTGGTCTAGTCTACCCCCTGGTAAATTTTTGTACGCCGACACTGGGACACCCTGTATTTATTGAGATGAAATAAAAGTATTGATAGAAATTTAGAAATTTAAATTAAAATTTTATTTGACTAAGACAATGTGAAGAGAGAAGGTTGAAATAATTATTGTAAAACAGAAAAATATTAGAGTAAAAAAAAATTGTTAGTATTAAATAGGGTATGTTGAAATATTATCAGAGTCGTATTACTAGAGCAGAATATAAATTTCAAAGATTTAAGCATACAAAACATCATTTTAGTCAAATAGCGTACATGCCAAGATATTATCGGAAAAACATAATCTAAATTAATTAGTAACACCAAGTGACATATAGCAAAAGAAAGCTAAAATATCATAGTTTTATTTAATAGTAGTATTATGAGGAAGTAAAATAAGTATAAAGAAATATTATATAGTATAAAAATATAGGATATAAATAGGATTATAATGTCAGTGAAATGTCAAAAATAAAGTTGAATTCACAAGGCAGAAAATATTATGTATGAAATTCAAATAAAAAGATAGAATAAGGAATATTTTGAAATATAAGTTAAAATTTTTGTAAATAAACTGGAATGTGATTGTAAAATTGTAAATTATAAAAGTGAAGTGAAGTGAAGTGGAAAAAAGAAACGGAATTTAAAAGAACAGGCATATATGTGAAAAGACCTTAATAAGGAAGAAAAAAATCAAGAGAATAGGATAAATAAAAAAGAGGAATTATTGACT